CGGAGCGGAGGTCCGGAGTCGGGAGCATAGGTGTTGCATACTCATCTGGAAGGTGTCGAGGTTGGGGTCGGACCCGGAATGTTCTGGAGTCGGACCGAAGGTGGTGTTGGAGCCGGAGGTGGGATAACCTCTTGGGAGTCAGCAAGGAGAAGGTGACGGAAGGGAAGTAGGGCTCTGGAGTCGGTTTCGGAGTTCCGGGAGCCTGGAGCGGAGGTCGGGATTGTATGGATATGACAGACCCATCCAGCCCAGACACCCTGAACAGCTTCCTGCTGTGCCCAGCATGCATGCCTGCAGTGGATGCTCTTGGGATCCCCTGCAGGGACACCCAGATGGCTGCGGCTGTCTCCGAGGATGATGTGGCACTCGTCATGTGACTCAAGCCACATGTACATAAATGTACCTGAAGTGGGAACTGAAGAAGTAACCTTCTTCTCACCTTTTCCACTTCAGGTAAGTAGTGTAGTCTTGTCACAGCCGTGCATTCCGGCCCGTTCCCCACCCATCCTGATGCCACCTGAGCCCATCCCGCTGCACAAGCATGAGCGTGAGCCCCGACCCTCATCCCTATTCTCCTTGAGGACTCCCTGCTCACCCCCCTGCTTGCCCCTAGGCTCCCCTGCACCTGGCCGACTCCCCCACAGCCACACCAACCTCCCCGCCCTGAGTCCGCCTCTGGCACCATGCCCAGCGTGTCTCCTCTACCCCACCCACTTGGCCCCTACAGGGCCGCTACCATTCCCATGCCCGACTCTGGCCCAACTCTGAGTCCAGCACCACTATGATACCATTTCCACTATCATGGCCCTACGCTCCTTCCTTTTATTTATCTGTTATTGTTTGTTTTGACCCTCGGTCATTGCTGGCTGCTATGCGGCCAACCCCACCCCTTATTGATGTTTGCTTCCGGACCCTTCGGCCTTCGGCCCGGGTCCGCTTCCATTCATTCTTTCTCCCTATATATATCCTGTATGATACTTTATTGTACCTTAGCTCTAATATCGATTTGACCATGACCCCCAAGTCCTGACCCCGGCAAGGCAACCCCAGTGAGTCTGAAATGAGGGCCAAGAGACAGCTAGGGGGCACAGCGCTCCTTTAGAGTCACTGAGGCCAAATGCCCTACCCTCGGGCCTTGTTCATGGCATCACAGCCATCACAGCCTATAGTGGCCCACAATGGTGACCCTCAGTGCCGACCCCGGACCAGTGTCTAACAAGTCTTCCCTTTTAATAACAATTCACCTTTTCCACTTCAGTCTAAGTGGCCAGGGACTGCTGTCCCGCATCGGGCCTGCCAGCACACACACCCACTTCGCACCCCAGGAGGGTCCCTCTGCTGGGTGCTACATCCGGGCCCCCTCCACCCTGGATGCGTCCCTGACACAGAAACGGGGTCTGTCAGGGCACACCCGCCTGACCCGGTTCCACCCGGGCCCACCTGGGCCCACCTCACCCGCTCACCCGCTCACCTGCTCCCCACTACCCATCCTTCCTCCCTCTTCCCTCTTTCCTCTTTCTCCTTTATTTCACTCTCCCTTTCTGTTTATTCTTTCTATTTACACGGACCACCTTCCCTTGTATCATTGTACTGTTGACCCGTCCGGCTCGGACACCCCGGGCGACTTCCCGCTACGCCCAGCATGCGCACCTGCAGCAGACGCCCTTGGGATCCCCCGCAGGGATACCCGGATGGCTGCGGCCCTCTCCGTAGATGACGTGGCACCCGTCATGTGACCCAAGCCACATGTACATAAATGTACCTGAAGTGGGAACTGAAGAAGTAACCTTCTTCTCACGTTTTCCACTTCAGGTAAGTAGTGTAGTTCTTCCTTTTAATAACAATTCACGTTTTCCACTTCAGTCTAAGTGGCCAGGGACTATAGTCCCAGATCGGGCCCGTCAGTACGCGCGCCCGCTTCGTCCCCCGAGAGGGTCCCTCCGCCGGGCGCTACAGCCGGGCCCCCTCCACCCCGGACGCGTCCCTGACAGGGTCACGGTTGTACTGAACTCGAAATGAGTGCTGGGTGGCTAATGCAATACATTAACATTTAACAGAATAACTGCTTGCTCTAGTGTGTCAGGGCACAGCCCTTGACCCCGCTCACCCTCAGACACCCTCACCCTTTCCCTAACCACCCTCTCCCACATTTCTCCATTCCCCCCATCCTTCCCCCCACTGTTTCACACAATGATGTGCATGTGCGAACCCATGGGAATGTTCTGGGTGAGCGACTCGCCCAGAAATGCACAGCCACAGCCACAGGAATTTTCTGGGAGAGTAACTTGCCCAGGACACGTGACCGTGGGAACATTCTGGGGTGAGCAGCTCACCCAGAACTTTCCCACGGGTCACACCCATTATGGAAAGTCAGCAGCAAGTGGGAACTGTACAGTTCCTAGGGTCCTTTTGTGTCGGCCTCACAGGGGGCTGAGAAGCTTACCCTTCTTCTCAGCTCATTCCCTGTGAAGGCTGAGGCTAGTCCCCTCAGCAACTTCTAATGTAAATAAGCACTATACACCAGACTCCTTCCCAGTCGCTCACATGATTTCTCCGAGGTTTAGCTGCAACTTACGTTGCCCTCCGAAATCTGTCAAGTGACTGGTACAACTTACAACACATGATGTTCCCACGCTAAGTTGTAATGAGTTGTACATAGGTTACGGAATATAATTTTTAGTATTTACGCATGTGGTCATTGCACCCAACCCAACCCGTGGAGACTAAGGGAGCACATCCAAGGTTGTGAAGTCAATATCCAGGGGTGCACGAAGTTTAACGGTTTATATATTACTTAGTTACCAGTCACTTGTTTGTGCCTGGTGGCATAAGTGGTATGGCGCTAGCTGAGGCTATGCAGTCTTTTTAAGTGGCACATGTTCAATTCTCACTTAGGAAACTTTTTTTTTTCATACCCTCCATTCCTTAGTGTACAGAAAACAACCATTTCAAACAATTATTCCATGGGAGGGCCCAAAAAAAGTTTGCCTAAGTGAGAATTGAACATGTGCCACTTAAAAAGACTGCATAGCCTCAGCTAATGCCATACCACTTATGCCACCGGGCACAAACAAGTGACTGGTAACTAAGTAATATATAGACCGTTAAACTTTGCACACCCCCAGATATTGACTTCACAACCTTGGATGTGCTCCCTTAGTCTCCACGGGTTGGGTTGGGTGCAATGACTGCATGCGTAAATACTAAAAATTATGTTCCGTAACCTATGTACAACTCATTACAACTTAGCGTGGGAACATCACATGTTGCAAGTTGTACCAGTCGCTCGACAGATTTCGGAGGGCAACGTAAGTTGCGGCTAAACCTCGGAGAAATCATGTGAGCGACTGGGAAGGAGTCTGACTATACATGTGGTCTCAGTCTCGAACAAGAGAACTGATTTATTGTTCCTTTACCTATACATGCGGTCTGTAAATACAGTCAGAACTCACATACAAGGAATAAAGTAAATAAAAGTATATCACCTCAGTCTCAAACAAGAACAAGAGAACTGAGGGGGTGTGAAAAAATTCCGTGCACAGTGTGTTTTATACACCTAGCACTAATATCACTAATAGTGACTGCCTGCTATAACCGGCAATGAAGAGGACATCAAGACAAAAGGTATATATGATATCCTCAATTGATATCACATCAATAAAGAAAATATTAGTATGCATGGACATTGATATTCCAATAACTTCGAGCAGCTGGGGAGAATACCCCAGCTTCCACACCTGGCCTCACCCTCCAGCCACTCCCAGCTGGGGTCCGGATCCTGACATAGTGACAATAGCTGTCAGGGGACACGCATGCTCATGCAGGTTGCACCAATAACCTAGTTGTGATTAAAGCCAGGGGAAAGGAATGTTGCCATCTTAGGGTCAGCTATATACATGTAGAGTCCGGCAATAAGGAAACCAAACACATTGCCGATAGAATCACATGATCATAGAATGTTCCAGAACAATGCCGGAGATGATCCGGGCCACCGGGGCTTAGGTAAGCGGAGTAGACGGGAATTGCCAGCATACTTCCCATGCACATATGCGCAGCCAGCATAGGGTCCAGGGTCATTGCTGATCCCTGACAATAGCTCAGTCTCAAGCAATATGCATGAGAACTACAGTGGTTTTGTGAGAAAGTGGCAGTCGAAAAGTGAAAGGGTATTGAACCCTTTCGTAAAAAAATATCGACAAAATGAGTAAATATTCGGAATTTTTTATTTTCAATTCAAAAAAAATATGCTAATACAGTAGAATAAGCGCTGTGTGGCCATTTCCACATTCCCATTATTATCAATAATGACTACATCAGCGAAGACTGGCTATCTGAATAACTGTCAATATGGTCCTCATATTGTCTGTGATTGCCGCATATTTTGAATCGTGACTGTCATATCCATCCCCGGCCATCAACTTCCATTCCCTCTGATCCCTCTGGTCTACCTCCACTCCTTCTTCACTAACCTCGGAGCTCCTGTATTCCGCAATCACCTCGGTACCTCTCGATGGTCACCACCCCCTCTTTTCAATTTATTACCTACGCCTCCCTAAGTACAGAGCCCCGAAGGCTTCCGGACAGCTCCGACATCCGCTAGCGCACTCCCGCCTCTGCTGGGCAATACACTCGCTCGCCCTGCAAGCCCACCTTCAGGCCTATCCCTCCTTTCCGTTTCTGGGTTATCGCCTGCCATTCCGCTAACCCCATAACCCGACTCGTCGGTAATATTCAATTGGCTAATGTCTAACCCTGTTAGCTCCGCTCTGCTCTGCTCCGCCATTTGTGGGCCCGCTCTCATTGTAACCATATATATATACTCCACTTGTACATAGGTTACACCCCAGTAATAAAATCGACTAGAGTTCACCCCTTTCAGTTCTGGTTGCCAGTTTAGTAAGTTAGGGCACGGACATGTTACTTGGCACAGCGCTCCTGGCACAAGTTGCTGAGGCCGAAGCCCTCCATCATGGAGACACTCCCTCATCTCAACCTGGTCTATGACATCGGCTTGGAGAGCTGGCCATTATCTTGTCAAAAACGATGATGATCTCAGAGAATTCTGTCTGGCACAGAAGTTCAATGATCTGGAATGCCAAATGGGCGCTGATTTGTTAAACCCATTTGGATCAGTGGCATATGAAGACCATGACAACGATGAAGAGCTCACCCAAAGTTCACAGCCCCAAGGAAACCCCACATCATCCATGACATCGACGTTCGAACTATCAGACCTAGCAGATAACAAATGTGCACGTCGTAATGGTCTCAGCTGTACCGTTGGGTTGCCAGATGGGAAGCAAGTACATAAGGCAAGGGTCCTATGTGAGTTCACAAAGTACTCAAGGGAATCAAACTCCATGGACCGTTTGAGGAGAGTGGCAAATGTCTCAAAATTTGCCCAACTCACACCGATACTGGCCCATTGTGTGGGAGATGGTTCAGTAACCGAAACACAGTGCATCCTAATCCAAGATCCCATTGCGACGATTTTACGATGCGAAGGAGTCCCTTTCCTGGCAATCGCTCAAGTCAATTCAATCAAGGTTGACGGAAGTCCCCAGACATATGTGGACAAAGAAATGCTCCCTGAAAGGACGGTTCTGGTTGGTGTCCAGATCCTCAGCCTGAAGCCGGCAAACGTACAGTTGTTGGATGGGAAGGAGGGTGATTGGGTGTGGGAATGTGGGAATGATGCAAGCCTCATAGTTCCTGGAAAATATCTCCAACAGATTAGCCCAGAACTAGTTTTAGAACATGGAGGGACCTTACCAAGTCCCACCGCATATGGATTCCGGAGTGATGAATTGCGCGATCTTGCCACAACAATGTTTCAAGGCCTCACCCCGGAAGATGTCTGTGGACTCATTGAAACCCAATTGACAGAAAGTTTCCCATATAAAATCGAAGGCAAGCATTCACAGACAGGCAAGAAGAATTTATAGCAATTTTACTGACCTATTTTATAGGGAGAGAGTGTTTTGCATGCGAGGTTGAGGGTACGGAGCAAGAATTGCTGGATGCAAATCCCAATTCATGCCCATGCTGTCATGCACTCATCGAAAATACTGCAAAACTTCTTGCTCACATTGCAGCCCACATCCTCTATGATGGCTCCATTGATCGTCCTAGTGAGCCATGTGGCCTCTGTCTCAAGCCCAGCCCCCTTTGTCAGTTTGTTCTTTGAATGAATAAAGGACTGATCGGTGTCGACTTTAACAAGTCAATGTGCACCAGGCTCACCAAATTTTCGTATGGGCCAGCAAGCACTCCATCTCAAATGAACCCATGTGGGAATGTCCCAGTAAAGTGTTCCTGTTGTCCAAAAGGATCAAGCGCAGTTTGGAAATACAATTTAGATGCTCACTATCATGCTAAGCATTCCCCAGCGCTTCCTCCGGCAGAGCTTACAATCACCGACTTCGAACTAGAAGGACTAAAGGTGCTCTGGGACAATAGGCATGTGGCAAATTGTGTCCAAGTTAGGTGTCGGAAGCACTTCAGGCCACACCTTGTGATATCTGAAGCTGTTAGAACTGGGCGAGGGCGGACGATTCCGGAGGGGAACCGGAGACTTAGCAAGGAGGGACCTTGGCCTCAGCGACTCAAGCGGAGCGCTGTGCCATTGCTGTTTGTCCATTTGGTCCTTAATTTCATAGGAGGCGAGCAGGAAGTCTCTAGGGGGCATTTCAGGTCGATTTTAGACTAAGGCCTAAAACGAGTATGTACAAGTGCCGATATATATATGGAGAGGGCGAAAGCACAAGGAAACAAAGGGGGTCCGAATCGGAACAAAGGCGTCCAAACGGGAACAAAGGGATGACAGAAGCGGAGTGGTACCAAAGGTCATAGGGCTGAACCTGTGGTACATCCGAAAGGAGATAAGGAGGGCGAAGCCCAGAAGGGCAGGAGGATGAGGGGAAGTGGGGATGATGACTAACTGGCTAGAATGGGATGAAGCAGCAGTCCAAATAGGGATGAGGGGGAAACGTGAAAGATACATTACAAGTGGCGAAAGTGCTGAAGATGATCCATGGAGCTTGGAGGTTGCGGAGCTTACAGAGGTTATGGAGGCGGGGTTGAAAGTCCAAGGAATATTGGCAATGGTGTTTACATAGTATGAGGTCACCAATGCAATGGACTAAAGCCGATGTTAAAGAAATGGGTTAAGGGCAATCCATTTCTTTCCGTCCTTATAGACGACTTAGAATCGTCCACCTCATGTATGTAGGGCGGTTTAGTCGTGTAATTAGAATTGTCCGATGGCCGTGGAGCTTTTGACAGAAAGCTGAGGCCTCGCAGTGAATGGGAGTCTGTTACGACGGATACTTGGCGCTCGTTACGTGAGCGTACTGTGTGTGGGTGTATAGGATCACAGGTTGAGAGAATGTCCAGAGCGGGACTAGTCGAGGACATAGGGCTAGCGGGTACTTGGCGCTCGAGAGAGCGTACCGGTAGCGAGTGAGATAACGACTCCTTGAGGGAGCTTCCTGAGAATTGGTTGACGGGTACTTGGCGCCCAGACGGGTGTACCGGCAACGAGGTATGAGACCGTTCAACTGGCGGACGGTCTGTATATGTGTCAACGGGTACTTGGCGCTCGTAAGAGTGTACCGGTGACGGAGGGGTTAGTCGATCGTAGGTCGAACGACACGTGGTGGGTTCGACGGCTACTTGGCACTCACGAGAGCGTACCGGCGACAAAGGGAACGGGCTTGTATCGAATGTCCATCCATCCGTAGAATTAACCAGATGCTCACCGTAAGGTGAGACAGATGTGAACCCAGTACCTGGGCGAACGATGTGAGTCGTAACAAAAGGTGATCGCACATACCTGAGTTGAGTCACGTGCGAACTCGCTGATCCGTGGCTAGAGTCGTCAACCTCGGCAGGGATGACCCATATAGACGGTGACCAAGACATACACAATCTTACACAGACGATACAGTGTTGGCACAAGGAGGTTTACAGTTGTTGCACAGAAGAGGATGGTGTGTTATTCGTTAGGTTCCGTCTTTTCGGCTCTTGCCGTACATAAACGTGACGCTAACTATTGAATAAGAAATGATCACGAGAAATCTCGCGAAATAGAATAAATATTCCGGCCAGCACCAAAACCCAATAAGGGAAAGCTTAGCGCGGAGTGAACGTGTAAGAAAGGGGGGTAGCGGGGAGAAGGTAACAAAGAGAAGGGAGGATATGGAGAAGGAGGACCCGCCATGGTGGACGTTCAGTCGACACGGTCACGAGAGACTCCATTCCTGTAACAGCCGAGGTGGGGTCAAAGTCCGAGGTTGGGACTATGACAGAGTCTCGGAGCGAAGGTACGAGCGGTGTCCGGGTACGAGGTATGGGACAGCAGCGGAAGGTCATAACTTGGCAGAAGGTCGGCGGAAGAGGGCCAGAGGGAAGAGGGACGAAAGACGAAAGGGGAGAGGAGTGGAGGAGAGGAAAGGTGTCAGGTCCGAAGGTGAGTATCAGAGTGGACAGGCGAAGGGTAGGGGAATGACGCAAGGGTGGAGGTGTTGTGAGGAGGAAGCGGAGGAGTGGGAGGAGGAGTAGGAGGAGGAGTAGGAGGAGGGTGGCGAGAGGAGCGATGTTCGGTCCGAGGTGAGTATCGGAGCAGACAGAGATAGGACAGGAGAAGGACGGAGGAGTGGGAGTGGCATGAGGGGGGAGAGGAGGTGTGGTGTCAGGACCGAAGGTGAATATCGGAACGGACAGCAGTAGGGTAGGACTCCGGAGGTGGTGAAGATGGAGGTCCGGGAGTCGGGTCGGGATCGGGTATGCATGGATATGACAGAAGTGCACAGCACACTGTAGGAGAAATAATGGTCACACTATGGAAAACCATTATGGAAATATGCCAGATAAATCACAAAACCCCATATGACAAGTAGATATGAGAAAATAGAAGAACCTGAATTTTAACGAAATTTTACGAATTATTACGACTACATACAATAAAATGGAAGAAAGAAAATTAGCAAAAATACTTCAAGCTTAGCATCAACAAGACGGAATTCTCGGGGGAATTTATAGCACATATTAAACCAAGAATTAGGCCAATCGACCAAGATTTGACTATAAAAACAACCAGAGAACCTCCATGGAAACTACTTTCCCACGTCCGCACACGTAGCCGAGGATGGAAGTACCACGGAACAAGGATTCCTTAGGAGCTAATGCAAAATTCAAAGTCGTGTTTATAATAGGAAATGTAGATGTTCTCCAAACAGACCCAATGAAAGTAATTACAGGGAAAACTACCCACAAACGACGGAGATAGACTAAAACTCCTGGAAAACAAGGACAACTTTTAAAAAGCAAGCACAAAGAACAACCAGTAACGACCGAGACGAGCTTGATAGCCCATTAGAAAGGAAGGGATCTAATCTTAATTCACCCAAATTTTCATAATAAAAGGATCACGCATTAATGAGATATCCAATAACGGGAATAGCGACATCAAAAGTCCGGGCTCAGGGAAAAGACGATGTTTACGAAGGATCCATAATTAAAACATACAACGAAATTTACACGGAAATTATGAAAAATAGGGAACTATAGTTATGAAAATTTTCAGCCCAAACGGTCCAGCCGTTGTGAAGTTATACCAACGACGGGAATATAGAAATCCGCATCATGTTTAATGACACATGAGGGTGGCAATGCGAAGAGAACTGGCCGTTGGAACCAAGATCCACACTTCGGCAGATCGTGAAGACCAATTTCCGTCCAAATAAGGAAGAGCCCAGTCAAAACAAAGCATGGAAAGTGCAAAAACAACTTTAGATCATGAGGGAAAAATCTGAAATAAATCACAGAAGCCCATATGAAGGATATAAACACCCACGCATACCATAAATCCCGAACAATTAAACAGAAACAGCGCCCGCATACAAACAACTACAGGAACAATGCACGTGATTACCGAATGTGCGCGTGAACTTTTGCTAACTCGACGAATACCAGGAAATATAACACAACTTTAGTACCATTGGAAAGGTGGGAATAAATGGAAACCCATGATACCAAGAACGTGAAAAACCATCCAGAAATGAATGAGATACAAGGACATGAAGTTAGAAACCTGAAAATGTGCGGGAAGACAGCTTCAAGAGGTCCAGAGCCCTAAATAAAATACATAAAAATATGATATCTTCGAGGACGACCTACTATAACAACAAACAATACATCTGGAGGATGGATGAAGGGGAATCAGGGGAGATGAACGAAATCCATGAAAACCACTAAACTACGATGGACCATGGCGGGAATTTTAGGGAACAATATTCTAATGAAGTAGAGAGCTATAATACATTCGTTTGAGTAATACTTGACTACTAGCAACTTTTTCTTTTGGTTTTAAACCTGAACAATTCACTCATTTACCATTTCAAGTCTCATTTTAACTAAATGACGCTGAATAAAAATGGAATAAATCAGCTGAAGGTCTCAGCACAGCCACACGCATAGTAATGCGAAGTTTGAATTCAGAATCACTGAGTCATAGCAAATTTAATGGTAAATATGAGGAATTTGAAATAGGAAAACTGCAACAAATGCAGTGCAGTCAAGTTTTAATTAACCATTAAAATAGCTTAGGCGAGGAAGGACAATAAGGATTCTAGGCGCAGTCTGACCGCAGTAGAGCTGCAGTTCAGCGCAGTAAAGCACAGTAGAACTATAGCATGAAAATTTCATTTTTTATTCAGTTTGAGAAAAATACACTGTAAATAAATCCTGTAAATAGGAGGTAGAGTGTGAAAAAGGAAGGCGACCCAAGGAGTATAAAAAGGAGACCCTTTCTGCGACTTTTCGCCCCCCTCAGAGAAGTAAGAAAATAGAGTATTATTTTTCTCAAGCATTTCTGGTTGTCACTCCAGTGCGAAAAAGTGATATACAGTTAAGATTGCCACTGTAGTAAAAGGCAGCAATTAAG